GTGAACGCAGCATAAGAAGGAGCTATTAGCTGGGTGGAGTAGCCAGCCTGCAGACGGCTTCGTAACGTTAAAACTTGTTTCTCTTAAACTAGTCATCCAGCTGACTAGCAGTGTGTAGGAAGGGGCAGGGCTGGCTTAGATTAATAAAACAGAGATATAAAAAGAAAGTGTTTTAATTGATTAAAATCAGATCTTTGAATGAAAATAAAATACAGAAATTAAACTTGGCAAGAGCAGAACTTTCAGGCTCAGTAAAAAGGTTTTGAGGTGAAAACGTTTCGTTTATATCAGCCACCTGCAGCTCAGAACGAACACACTTTGTTTTGTATTCACTGTGTGTATGCAAAATGACAATAAAAGTAGTTTAAGTCTAAGTTCAAGTCAAGTCTAAGTCATGCAGAGTAAAAGTCAAAAACATCTGGAACAATAAAAAGCTAGGAAGAAAAAACTGATGAGTTAACAGCCTGAACATGTTGTCTGAGATGAATGGCTTAGTCACAGTCAGCTGTCTTTTTTTTCTGTTTTTTCCTTCCTCCTCTCATGCCTGACCACAGCTGCTGCCTTGTGTTTCTGGTTTAGGTCTCACATCCCGAATTAAGAAGCAGTGCTTTCGACTCATCAGGAAAATACCCTTTGTTGGCGACAGTGTAAGTTTTTATGCGGTAAATCTGTTCCTTCTTTGTGCTCTAAATGATGTCTGGGACGCCTGTGAGTCACTCTAGGATGACTTCATAAGGGGGGGGGACCTTTGGCACACTTTGCCCTCATGATAAGGTGGTTACTTTAGTTCAACCAGTTACACTGTTACTTCTTTACTCTCTAAAATCTGCTGATTTTAGCACCTTTACATAAAAAAATCCCATTTTCTCCTCTCTTCTTCCATGTGTAACAGATTCAGAGGCAGCTGAACAAGGCTCTGGATGACATGTCTCAAAGTCTGTGCACTCTGAAGGAAGGGATGAGCTACACCACAAAGCTGCCCCCTAAAGGTCTAAGTCAGAGCCAAGTAATGGAGAAAATCAAAGAGTATGAAACCCTCAGTGAGTGAGCATCTTGGTTCAGTCGATCAGAATAATTTATGGTTTAAGTAAACGTTTCTGAAGACGCTGCGTTTGATTTTTCAGATGAGGTGCAGTGGGAGAAAGGCTGCGTCTCTGGTGCAGTGTACTGGGGTGATGAGACGCTGACCAAACTCCTAGTGAAGGTATGCTCCTCTTGTTTCTCACAAACCTGGTGTGGAAAAAATAAACTTTTTTTCCCTTCTAGCTTTTATTTTCATTACGGGGCTGCTCAGTGGGGCAGTGGGTAGAACTGCTGCTGCCTTGCAGCAAGAAGGTTCCGGGTTTGATGTTCTCCCTGTGCATGCGTGGGTTCTCTCCGGGTACTCTGGCTTCCTCCCACAGTCCAAAACATGACTGTTAGGTGAATTGGCTTCTCTAAATTCTCCTTAGGTGTGTGCATGAATCGTTTTTCATCCTGTTTGGTTCTGTGTTGCCCTGTGAAGGACTGGCGACCTTTCCAGGGTGGACCCTGCCTCTAGGCACCAGCCCCCCTCCCCACACTGATAGGATAAAGAGTGATGGAAAATGGATGGATTATTGTCACTACACTGTCACAAGTACAGGGCAATGAAATAATCCATCCCCTTTGGGGGTAGGGGTGGGTATTGCCAAAGAAGTCATAATTCGATTCGAATCACGATTCACAGGCCACAATGCGATTCTATCACGATGCATCACGATACTTGAATTATTGCGATGCATTGCAATATTTTCACCTCCAATGTGATGGAGCCGCGGGGCGAATTCTCATAGTGTCCTCCATGTTTTATTTCATATGACTCGTCTCAGTATCCCGCAGCCGGAAATGCTTGTGACACAAGGCACCATGCGTCAACACATCAACACACAACATCTACTGGAAAGGAAGTTTTATTCCACTTGTTTTTGGCTGATGTTCGCCAACCATTCATGCAATTTTGTTTATTAATTTTTTTAAATTAATAATCGATACTTAGCGTCAAGAATTGATGCAGTAGATCACGAAAATTAGAATCATGATGCATCATAATGACGATTATTTTGCACACCCCTATTTGGGGGGCAGTGGGCTGCCCTTGTGCAGCGCTCGGGGAGCAGTGGTTATGTGTGTAATTCGGCCTTAACAGATTGCAAATAATAAACAAGCAAGATGCTAAGTAATACGGAGTAGTCCTTTTTTCTCTAGTAATATGAAAAAAATTAAGTCTTTAGTTCTTCAATGACTTCCACTTTTAAGATCTTTAGATATGCAAAAATATATCATAGTAAAATTCCCACAAAATCGACCAATGAATAGTAAAATAAAGCCTGATCAAATCCTGGTGGATCCATCCTGACGCTGTTAGCCCACCAGACCAGCTAATTGAGCTAACGATGAGCCGTTAGCTCTTTAATCCTGAGGAAGCATCAGGGGTGTATTTAGTTTTTTTTACACACATATAGCCTTTCTGTGTAGAGGCCGTCTTTGTTTAAATAATCATAACTTAAAACGTGTTTTTCATACCTGAACGCTGTTTTAGACATTCGCTTTCATTTTCTGATGTGTGAAACCTTAGAATTTAAAGAGGATATACTTTCTTTTTGCCAAAAAGTTGACAAGTTTGAGCTTGTTTGTTCTAAGTGAAGGTATTTTAGTTTTTTTTTCCTCCTCTTGTTTGTTGTCTGAAGGTGTACGGAGACTTTGCTTGGAGCAACCCCCTTCACCCGGACATCTTTCCTGGCGTCAGGAAGATGGAGGCTGAGGTTGTCCGGATGTCTTGCACCCTGTTCCGTGGAGGACCGAACTCCTGTGGAACGGTGAGAACCCAGACTCTACAATAAACCATTGATGGAAGATCTGCTTCATTCAAACACCTCTCCCCCCCACCTCCTTTGTTTTCCCAGGTCACTTCAGGAGGAACTGAGAGCATTCTGATGGCCTGTAAAGCGTACAGAGACATGGCACACGAGCGCGGTGTGAAGTACCCTGAAATGTAAGACAAGCTTTGTGAGACACGGTTTGCTGACGACTTGCTTTTCCAGTAAAAGTGATCAAATCTTTACTGGTTTTATCTGCAGTCTGGCGCCGGTGAGCGTCCATGCCGCTTTCGACAAAGCGGCCCATTACTTTGGGATGAAGCTTGTCCACATTCCTCTCGACCAGAAAACCATGAAGGTGGACGTGAAGGTGAGAAGGCGACGTGCTCTGAAAGTACGTTTCCTGCTGTCAGACGCTCATTATTCTCCTTTTTTGATGGTCCTGTAAGGCAATGAAGAGAGCCATCAGCAGAAACACAGCCATGTTGGTCTGCTCGGCGCCCCAGTTTCCGCATGGTATCATGGATCCCGTTGAAGAAGTAGCCAAGGTCAGAGGCGTCATGTTTTCCCAACTCAATAGGCCCAAAACAGAAACAGGGAAGTCCATTGTTTGAAACTTTCCCTCGCTGTGTTGCAGCTGGCTGTCCGCTACAACATCCCGCTGCATGTGGATGCCTGCCTGGGTGGATTTCTCATTGTTTTCATGGAAAAGGCTGGTTACTCACTCGCCCCATTTGACTTCAGAGTGAAAGGCGTAACCAGCATCTCTGCAGACACCCACAAGGTAAGGAGTGGTAGCAACCAGCGACCATTGTTTGAACCCACAAGCCTTTTTTATCGCATCCAGCGGTGGGAATAATCTTTTATTTTCTCTTTTGAATCAAAATGTGCCTTTTTCTTTATTTAATAGTTTTTATCATTAGATTTATGGCTTATATCTAACAGCAAAACTACACTTTTTTTTTCTCTTAAAAGTATTGTGGAGGATTTTCTCTATTTTTTATTTTTTTTTAAAGACTGCCCTCTTCACTTAAAAAAAAAGCCTGAAGTGACCCAAATCTGATTTTTTTTTTCCCATATGCGACCTGGATCTGACCTTTTCATGACAGTCTGAACAACACAATCCGATTTTTTTCCAATGCGACCCAGGCCACTTGGCTGTGTGGTCCTGAATCCGATACGAATCTGACCTGTCTCTGAACGACCATGTCGGATTCATCCAACCTGAACGTCATTAATACCCGACAAAGGTCACTATTCTGGGTCTTGCTACACAGAAGCGGCAAGAAAAACAACAACCATGGTGCACGATGATGACGAAAGCAGTATTTATGTTTAACCATCTTGGAAAGATTGAGTTTTTAAGGTTGGGAAAGATCACTAGATGCGCTCCGGCGCTACCATTCATGTTTACTTCTGTAAACACGAAGCACGCTGGCCTGTGACGTCATTGCGTCCTCTACTGCGCATGGGGGACACTTGCGTTGTATGACTGCAGTTCATACAGGAGATCACATACAAGTCGCATATATTTGAAAATGTAAACGACAACGCAAAAAAAAATCGGATTTCACATAAAAAATCGGAATTGAGCATCAAGGCCTGCAGCGTGAACGTAGCCTAAGTAGCTCTTGCACTGCCTTAAATTCTCCTTTTCTTTTGCCGTCCCCGGGTTCAGAACTGCGGTATCCACAATTTACTTCATTTCTTCCTTCAAAATAAAACTTTAAAGCAAAGATAAAACAGGGCTTATTTTCTGTTCCAATCATTTTAAACCTTCAGTCATTTCAGCCTTTTCTTAATGTGTCTGCGACGCTCTCCTCCCCAGTATGGCTACGCCCCCAAAGGCTCCTCAGTGATTCTCTACAGCGATAAAAAGTACCGTCAGTACCAGTACTTTGTGGCTCCAGACTGGCAGGGGGGGATCTACGCCTCCCCCTCTGTAGCGGGTTCCAGGCCAGGAGGAATCATCGCCGCCTGCTGGGCGACCATGATGTACATGGGGGAGAGCGGATACGTGGACGCCACGAGGAAGATCATCAGCACGGCTCGCAAGATCAGAAATGAGTAAGACGCTCGCATCCTGTCGGCGGTGCTGACGTCGACATACACCTTCTAACGCCTGGCTTTGTTTTGGGCAGGATCAAGAAAATTAAAGGAGTGTTTGTGTTCGGGAACCCGGAGGTGTCCGTGGTGGCCATCGGCTCCGACGTGTTTGACATTTTCCGCCTTTCAAATGCGCTGACGTCAAAGGGCTGGAACCTGAACACACTGCAGTACCCGTCCAGGTAGGTGATGGACCCGAGACAGGACAAACGGCTGCAGTTTACACCCTGTTGGACAGAATTCATTCTGGTCAACCCGAAACAGACTAGTTCAGTCTAACTCTCTCTCTTAGTTTAAACCTGTTTACTTCTCTCCTGCTGAGTAAGCATGTGGAGAGAGTGGAGAGGAAGGACTCCTTATAACAGAAGGCAACCTTCAGCAGAAGCTGCTCAGTATCTCTATCATCTGTGAATGAGTGGATGATGAGGGGACAGAAAGGAGAGGCTGAAGGTCAGAGCAAGGAGTACCTTCAATTTGAAGGAACCTGCTGATGACATCTGTAACTTCATTAATTGAGCAGGAACTGAGCAAAGTAGTACTTTCTATTGTAAGATAAAGGGAGTATAACTAGTTAATGGCACTGTCCAAAAATATAACAAAAACGGATCTAAAAATAACTATGAATTATTTTCTAAGAAGTATAATCACCCAAAATTGGAAAAGGTAAAATATGATCGGCCAATGGAATGACTATTTCTATAATTAAAATAAGACAATTAGTTAAGGTGCACTTATTCTTCTCACTTATCTGCTCAGATTAGGGGAAAATACATTTATTTCAAGCCCAATTGAATCATTTAGATTTAATTAATGGGGCAAAAAGGAAAGTGCACAAATTAAACTGTAAAAATGTCAGGTTTGCTGAAAAAGTGTAAAACTGTAGACTGAAAGAGTGACAGGGTGGTAGTTTAGAAATAAAACAGAGTAGAAAGGGTGTAATTATTGGCAGCAGAAACTTTATTAAAGAATTGTGTGCGACTTAAGACAAAAAGACTAAGCTGGTAGTACTTTCTATGGGACAAAAAACAACAAAGATGGAACACAAAGTTAATGGCAACAATAGCTCGGCCTGCAAAATGCAAGCAAGCCCATAAAGGCTGAGCCTGGAGTACTTTCTATTGACGAGAAAAAACCCACACACACTCGGTTATTCTTATAAGTAGCTCAGCTGAAATCTCTCTCTAAGATATTAAACACAACGTAATGCAAATGCTCTGAGGCTGGAGTACTTTCTGAAGTCAGCGATCAGTCCAAGCCTCTGTCATTATATCTACAGAGGTGACTCCCATTAACCCAAATAACTCGAACTATAAGGCCTTTTTTAGTAGACACAATGTTTGCCTGATGGAAAGCGGCAGCACAGGAAAGGAGCCACATTAAGAAACTCTAGAAGGTACCACTAAAGGGCAGATTAGACTTCTGCATCCGCGCACATCAAATGTCGCTTGGGTTTGCAGTGATGTCAGTTTCCTGCCAAAGCGCAAAGGGGGAGCCTATTCAAGAACTCGCAAGAACTTGGACGGATTGTACTTCCGAACCTCCTCGATTAACCTTTTGTCGCAGTTTTCCATTGTAGTTGTTTTTAAAAATGGCGTGCCCAGGCACCGAATCGAGAAGGATGACCACACAGACAGCTGGAAAGGCATACCAAGGACCAATCACAGCTGCTTTTTGTCTGAGAACTTCAGCTTGAGGTCTGCGCAGGTTTGCGACTGTCCGACGCGTAGTCAGAATTTTTTTGAGATGCAGAACCTCTGCGCGGGGGGTATGGTCTCGCACAGAGACAGATTTGACGGTTTTAGAGGCCATGCGTCAGAAGCATAAATTTGCCTTAATACTTCTGCTGCAGAAAAGGTTCTGCTCTGGATTCAAGGGGTAACTAATGTAGACTAATATTATTTTAATAAGAATTCAATTCTGATCAGAAATCCCTTGGCAGATCTTTCATTTCTAAGACCTTTTAGCTTTATTTTGTGAACTTAA